GTGGTGGGTGCCAGCAATCCTAGCTACTCAGGAGGCTGAGGCCCAAGAATCATTTGAACTCGAGAGTGGAGGTTGCAGTGAACCAAGATTGTACCAGCCTGGGTGACAGCCTCGGCGACAGGGCAAGACTCCATCTCAAAAAAAAAAAAAAGACATGTATCTACATCAACCCATATCCCCTCTGAGGCAGAGGATCCTCAGAAGTACTGGGGATCACACTGGACTTACATACACACTGAACTTTAACTTTATTAAAGGGTGACCTCAGGAAGCCCAATAAATCAGGGACATTCAGGTCATATCGAACTGAAATTGCTTATTGGGGTTGTTTGAGACCTTGGCAAGAGCAGTTTCAGTGGAAATTTTTTGGCACAAACCAGCTCACAGGAGCACAGGTGGGCAGAAGGCAGAGGCGTTGGGTGTAAACAACTTAGTCAAAGTTCTTAGCAATGAAAAAAGACATAGGCGGGACAGGGCGCAGTGGCTCACACATGTAATCCCAGCACTTTGGGAGGCCAAGGCAGGTGGATCACCTGTGGTCAGGAGTTCAAGACCACCCTGGCCAACATGGTAAAACCCCATCTCTACTAAAAATACAAAAGTTAGCCACGCGTGGTAGTGCACACCCGTAATCCCAACTACTCAGGAGGCTGAGGTAGAATCACTTGTACACAGGAAGCAGAGGCTGCAGTGAGCCAAGATTACGCCACTGCACTCCAGCCTGGGCAACCAAGTAAGACTCTGTCTCAAAAAAAAAAAAAAAGACATAGGTAGAAAGAGTCATCTGCCTAGAGGGAAAGAGGGTTTTTTTTGTTTCAAGATGGAAAAGATTTCAGAGTATTCAGAGTATTAATTGACAATGAGAAAAAAAAACACATTAAGGAGGAAAAGAGTAAAGATTTCAGAGTGACAACACCTTCCCAACCAAAGCCCAGATGCAGGATTTGGCTGGTTCTTCAACAGCACCCGCATGAGACAGGTGATCAGCCCACACACCTGCTCAGGGCGATGCTCTGGAGTCCCAGGGCATCAATTTTATCTTGAGCCTCATGAACCAGGTGGCTGAATGACTAAGCCCAGGCCTCCCTACTGTACCCACCCCACCCCGGGGTGTGGGGCCCTCTGATGAACAGGTGACATTACAGTAAATGAACGTTTACTCACAGCCTACTAAGCTTACATACTTTTATGTTTCATTTTCACAGTAGTCCTGAGTAGGCATTACTATTCCCATTGTATAGATGAGGATGCCAAGGCTCAGAGAAATTTTACAACAAGCAATAAAAGGCGGAACAGGGAAACCAACCTGGATGGTACTCCAGCATTCATTTTCTTTTCATTCCAGACCTCAGGGAATATATTCTAAAGCCCCCAGAGACAAGAAAGTTATGTCCAATGCCTCCAGAATTAGGGAAAGATGACCAGGCTTTTTCCTGATACTGCCCTAGATTTTCGCAATTACAGAAACATGGTCCTCTACCTCCGGAACCACAGAAACCTGAACCTACATAACCTGTCCAACTTGCTTCTCTCGAAACCAGAAACTTTCCACAGTTGGTCCTGAAGTTTCTCGCCTGGCATGGAGCTTTAGAGCTGCTGAGAGCCATGGTAACGTAAAAAAGCAGAGAGAAGAGAGCTGGTCTGGCTGGAGGGGTGGGAGGGGGACCGGGAAGTCCTTACTTGGACTCTCACCTCAGCTTTGGTTATTCCCATTAAACTCTGAGTCGCCTCCAAGAAACTCCAGAACTTCTCTGAACACACTTTACCACAGCTATTAATTACAGTCTTTTTTTCTTTAATGAAAATTTTGAAGCTCAAAAAAGTAAAGTGATCTGCTTAGGGTTACAAAGAGCGTAAATGAATTACAAACCTCAATAACCTGTATATTTCACAGCTACTAAACCCAGCTTTCTATAATCTGTTAGCTGCTTAACCCAACCCAGTAGCCACGCCCCCTTCTCCCATTAGTAACAAACCCCAAATTTATTCAGAGTAACACTGCTCCCTGCCAAAGGACTATATTTCTCAGCCTCTCTTCAATTTGGAATGGCCATTTTAAGTTCTAGCCAATGAGATGTAAGCAAAAATACAGTATGGTTCTTCCAGGAGAAAGAACATAGGTCCTTCTTCTCCCTTTCCTCTGTCCTGCTGCTTGGAAGTCAAATGTGGTGGCTGGAGCTCCAGCAGTCAGTTTGGACCATGAGGATGAGACACAGCCTAGGGAAGGCAGCCAGAAAACTGGAAAGAACCTGATTAATAGGGAAGCTGACATGATAGGCTTCAACTACATACACAAGAAACAATTTCATATATCTCGTTTAAGTTGTAGTTGTTGCAGCTGAATCTAAACTAACTGGTACAAATCGGGAATAGCTTCAACAATTTTCTCTAAACCTCAATGACAATCCTCAAATATACAGCCTGAATGCAGCTCTGGGGCTTGGGAAGGTATGGCTGCAACTTCCTGCTTCCTGTGTGCTGTATTTCCAGGGCCAGGAGAGGCCATATAGCTCAGTCCTCAGAGGATTAGGTCACGCAGGTTCATCAGGGTTTTCTTTTTCTTTTCTTTTTTTTTTTTTGAGACGGAGTTTCGCTGTTGTTACCCAGACTGGAGTGCAATGGCACAATCTCGGCTCACCACGACCTCCGCTTTCTGGGTTCAAGCCGCTTTCTACTGCCTCAGCCTCCCGAGTAGCTGGGACTACAGGCGCGCACCACCATGCCCAGCTAATTTTTGTATTTTTAGTAGAGACAGAGTTTCACCTCGTTGACCAGGATGGTCTCAATCTCTTGACTTCGTGATCCACCCACCTCGGCCTCCCAAAGTGCTAGGATTATAGGCGTGAGCCACCGCACCCGGCCCATCAGGATTTTCTAAGTCTATGTTCTGGACTCTATTTCCAGAACTCCCAGTCCAGCCACTTCCTGGGCCTTTACGCTGCCGTTTTCCCCTAACCCCAGAAAATCCCTGAGGTTGTATAATTATGAACTCAAATCGCAAGGCACCAAAAATCAAAAGAAATCAGAAAAAAGCAGCTCATTTACCTTGCCCAAAAAAAGCTCAGTAAAAATACAGATAGTAGCTGTGAGTGAGGCAAAAACAAATCTGTAAATATAAAGAGGTTAGAATTCAACAGGAATTTAAAAACCATTAGAACATGGGGATCTTGAAACATCAGTAAGGACCTTCCTATTAAAAAGCAATGAATTTGGCTGGGTGTGGTGGCTGCAATCCCAGCATTCTGGGAGGGTGAAGCAGGCAGATCACCTGAGGTCTGGAGTTCAAGACCAGCCTGGCTGACATGGTGAAACCCCATCTCTATGAAAAATACAAAAATTAGCCAGGCATGGGGGCAGGCACTTGTGATCCCAGCTATTCAGGAGGCTGAGGCAGGAGAATCCCTTGAACCTAGGAGGCAGAGTTTGCAGTGAGCTGAGATCAAGCCACTGTACTCCAGCCTGGGCATCAGAGCCAGACTGCATCTCAAAAAAACAAAACACAACAAATTCAACCTGCCCGGAGACACTAGAATGTGGGAGACCCCCATTCGCATCCCACTGATGAGAAGCGTCCTAGGAATCACAGCAGCTGGTGTCTAAGATCAACAGCCCCCTAGTACTAAAGCACTACCCTGCCTTTCACACTCTAGCCCCAGAGCTGGGAAGGGAGCGGGCAAGGGGACATTGTCCCTGTTCGCAAAAGGAACATGGCCAATTGTCAGCATCTTTTCCCACCATCAGGGCAGCTAGCTGGGATGGGAGGGGAGACTTCATGAACCCCATATTTGTGAAACTGAGGCAAAAAGAAGTTCACTTCCTGAGAAGGGTGAGCTAGTCATGCATGACATCTACAGTCACCTCACTTATCAGGCTGCAACAGAAGCATGCTTGTCTGCAGAGGACGTTAGCTAATGGATGATGGCCCTGGGCAGACAACAGCCACACTAGCCCATGCCACTGAGCATACCACGGCGCCCGGTGACAACACTGGTTCGCTGTGTGGAAGCCATAGAGAACTCTGCTTCCCAGGTCTGCTAACACTGACCAGGGAGGACGCTCTAACATTACAAAAGCCAAAAAAGGCACACCCCGTCTGTTTCACGAAGCTGATCTCCCTCTAGGAAGTAAGTGCTCTCCTTTATTCTTGTTTCTCTTAAAATGCAGTTCCCAGAACTGAACATGATAATTACTTCATTCCAAGGGCCCTAAATGATCCAATGGGGCCGTTACTTCCCCTGTTACTTTCCAGCAACGTGACTTCCATATTCCATGCAAGTGGGAAAGCACGTGACTTAGGGTCTCATTCTCCTCCCACTTAGTGACCAAAACCTCTTTGAGATTCAGACTCCTTGGCTGTCAATGTGGGTAAAAATACCCTGCCTATCACTGTGAATCACTCTGAAGGCAATATGCTCAGACACCCAGTTTCCAGCAGTCTAGGGAGACATGAGATCCCTTTGCACTGATACCCCAAGCCACAGTGATTCTGAGGACCCAGATGAACACAGACCCTCAGCCCCCAGCCCTGCAGAAGTCTTCCCTGGTTCCTTCAGGGGGGCCTCGAAAGGCTCCCCTACATCTGTTGAACCAATTAGCCTCAAGTCATCATCATATCCTTCTTCTGCCCTGGTTTCTGTGGCTTGAGGTCCACCTCCAGCTTTGGGGCCACTGTCTCTAATGGCACAGGGCCCATGGAGCTACCAGGTTCCAGGTCAGAGGCTCCGTCAGTGCTCTAGACCCCTACGCCCTGTGTGACCCAGCAGGGCTGATGCACCTTCCCCCACTCAGCCACTCCTTTATCTCCTGCAAGCAACTTTCAGCACAACTCCCACACCCCACCGAAAAAACAACCACTCACAAAAACACCAACTTCCCACCATTCATTGGAGCTCTGGTTTTCAACCTCTTTCCAGGATACCTTGTAGCAATTTGAAGGTCCATCCTCAGTTTCTGCTGGGTTTCAAAGATCTAGGAGAAGCTTAGTGTTTGTCAAGACCAGGATGGACCCAACACAGAAGTCTAATCCAACCTTTATCCCAGAGTCTTCACAAATACTCACCAAAGAAAATTCCCGGGATAATTCAGGAGCCTCTCGAAACTTCTCCAAGATATTGATAAAGAACCTTAGTAAGCTGACTCTCAATGCTAGTACTGAATTCCCTTCCCCTCTACCAGAAGGGTCACTTTGACAGTCTACAGGAGCAGCAATCCTCAGGGAAATCAGAGATGACTCGTCTTACAGGAGGGGAGGAGTAAGAACATCATTACTGTCTGTGCAGAGAGAAAGAATGGCAAGATTCACATACATGTTACTCGGCAGAGGTTCTAGGCAGCATGAAAGAACACTAAGGAACACTGGGCTTAAGGGAGTTAAGAATGCATCAAGAAGAGGAATATTCAAATGTCCCTGCAGTTTCTGCGTGTCTAGCGGATGGGATCCTTCTGAAAATGCTAGAATAGGGAATTGTGACACCAAGCCACTTTACCCATAAGACATTGGAAAACTGTATTCTTGAACTTTTTTTTTTCTTGCTGGTAATTTTATATAGCAGACCGAGAAGGCTACTCTAGACTAGTATAGACTATACACCAATAATTTTGATCATGAATTCTAGGATATATTTTTCTCGTACCTTTTTCTTCCTGCTATGATACTTGTAATTTATAAGGGATCTGTGTAGTTTGAATGTATATAACTTTAGCTCTACTGTTTTATTTGACCCAAAGAAGCCAAGAGGATATAAGTATTCCCATGTGTTTCAGAAGCCCAAAGTCAGTGAGCTGAAACCCAACATCAAGAAATTGAAGCAAAGTTACTTGTGGATAAAGGAAGCATTAGGTAGTTTGGCTAGAGCATAATAATTAGAATTTCTGACTTTCAAAAATTTGCATTGCAGTAAGAGGAAACTTTATGTTATTTTTACAGTTTTCAGTACAAAAAGGTATATATATAGAAACAACGAAGTTGACATTTGAGTACTTTAAAGAAAAAAAACTTCCACAGGAGTGAGCTTAGTCCTTCACACCTTCAGCAACATCTCACCTGGACTCAGTGCTGGCTCAGCCTGAATGTCCGATTAACACGCCCAAGCCAGAACCGTGAAGCCCCTCACGGGGGAACGCAGCCGCCTGTCCCGGAGGCCTTCATGAAACCAAAGGACTTCACCCCATAGTGAACTCAAACGTTCACCTCCAAACCCAAAAAACTGCTGGACACTTTCACCAAACGCAGGAGCTCACGCCTATAATCCCAACACTTTGGGAGGCCAAGGCGGGTGGATCACGAGGTCAGGAATTTGAGACCAGCCTGACCAACATGGTGAAACCCTGTCTCTACTAAAAATACAAAAAGAATTAGCCAGGCATGGTGGTATATACCTGTAATCCCAGCTACTCAGGAGGCTAAGGCAGGAGAATCACTTAAACCTGGGAGGCGGAGGTTGCAGTAAGCCAAGATCGCACCACTGCACTCCAGCCTGGGAGACAGAGCAAGATTCCCTCAAAAAAAAGAAAGAGAAAACTGCTGGCCACTTTCAAAAGACACCTTCTCCTCCCTCCCAGGAGCTGGGCCATGCTGCAGCCTAAGCCACCTCTGTCCACGCTGGGGGAGGGGCCAGAGGGACTGCCTAGGGAAAAAATAAAGGGTGGAGAGCTGAAAAATACTGCTGATCGCAGCATGGCAGAGGTGCTAGGGCACTGGGGGAACATGTAGGTTTAGAGAAAATCAGACAAATGCAAAAAAGAAGAGCTGGCTTTAAGTCCAGAGGGAGAAAAGGGCTTTTTAATCATGGAGTGTCGTCTGCGAACACTGCGTGGCTCAGGGGTGAGCAGTTTGCCTCCCAATAATGTGAACAGTAGTCACTTATTTCATAAAACACTGGGATGCAAGAATACAGAAGGGGGTATGGGAAGGAGAGCATCTCCTCCGCTACCATGATTGGAAGTTAATAAGTAATGTGCAAACTCAAAAATCAAGAAATAGTAATGTGGCTGGAAGCGGTGGCTCACACCTATAATCCCAGCACTTTGGGAGGCCAAGGCGGATGGATCACCTGAGGTCAGAAGTTTGAGACCAGCCTGGCTAACATAGTTAAACCCTGTCTCTACTAAAAATACAAAAATTAGCCAGGCAGAGTGGTGCACACCTGTGATCCCTGCTACTTGGGAGGCTGAGGCAGGAGAATTGCTTGAACCCAGGAGGTGGAGGTTGCAGTGAGCCAAGGTCGTGCCACTGTACTCCAGCCTGAGCAACAGAGTGAGAATCCATCTCAAAAAAAAAAAAAAAGAATAGTAATGTAAGCACATTGTTAAGAAAAATGGTGGAAAATACAAGAAAAATGGCTGCAGAGTTGGCAGTGCCCACCCCTAGGAAGAGAGCTTTGGGGAATAAGAGGCTGAGAGCAATTGTAATTTTTCATTATAATTTTTATATACTTATTCTACTTTGCTTTTTAAAGCTATGTACATGCAGCATTCTGTTAAAAAGATGATTTTATATAAAACAGCTCCTGGCCAGGCATGGTGGCTCATACTTAAAATCCCAACACTTTGAGAGGCTAAGGTGGGCAGATCACTTTAGCCCAAGAGTTCAAGACCAGCCTGGGTAACATAGTAAGACCCCATCTCTAAAAAAAAATCTAAAAAGTTAGCCAGGCATGGTGATGCCTGCCTGCAGTCCCAGCCACTCAGGAGCCTAGGAAATAGAGGCAGCAATGAGTCATGATCACGCCACTGCAATCCAGCCTTTGTGACAGAGCAAGACCCTGTCTCAAAAAAAGAAAACAAAGAAGAAAGAAAATGAAAGAAAACAGATTCTCTCAGCCTCTACAAAGGCAGGTTTCAAAAATCTCAGGGCTCTATCACAGCTAAGGCTGCCGTCAGATAGGTGACCACGTGTATTACTTTCCTAGAGCAAAGTAACAAAGTACCACAGACTGGGCGGCTTAAACAACAGCAAAGCATTGTCTTACAGATCTGGAGGCTGGACAGCTGAAGTCCAGATGTCGGAGGATGGGTTCCCTCAGAGCGCTATGAGCGAGAATCTGTTCCAGGCCTCTCTGAGCTGCTGGTGGTGCCAGGAATCTTTGGGGTTCCTTTGCGCGTAGAAGCAGCACCTTGATCTCTGCCTTCATCTTCACATGCCATTCTCCCTGTGTGCATATCTGTGCCCAAATTTCCTTCTTTAGTTTCGATTTTTATTTTTGAGATGGAGTCTCACTCTGTTACCCAGGCTGGGGTGTAGTGATCCAGTCATAGCTCACTGTAGCCTTGATCTCCCTGGCTCAAGCGATCCTTCTGCCTCAGCCTCCTGAGTTAGCTGGGGCCACAGGCACATGACACTATACCTGGCTAGTGTTTTTGTTTCTTTGGTTGATTTTTTTTTTTTTTTTTGCGACAGAGTGTCACCCAGGCTGGAGTGTAATGGCGTGATCTTGACTCCCTACAACCTCCGCCTCCTGGGTTCAAGCGATTGTCCTGACTCGGCCTCCTGAGTAGGTGGTATATTACATGTGCCTGCCAGCACATCCAGCTAATTTTTTGTATTTTTAATAGAGACAGGGTTTCACTATGTTGGCCGGGCTGTCTCGAACTCCTGACCTCAGGTGATCTGCCCACCTCGGCCTCCCAAAGTGCTAGGATTACAGGCATGAGCTACTGTGCCCAGTGGCACCTGGCTAGTTTTTTAAAAAAGTTTTGTATTCTCTGTAGAGATGGGGTCTCACTATATTTTCCAGGCTGGTCTCAAACTCCTGGGCCAATCAAGCCTCCTACCTCAGCCTCCCAAAGCATGGGACACTGTACCTGGCCTAATAGATCAGGCCACCCTACTCCAGTATGACCTTGTTTTAACTAATTCTATGTGCAATGACCCTATTTCCAAATAACATTACATTCTGAGGTACTGGGGGCAAGGACTTCAGCATATGAATGTGCTGGGGGAGGTGGGTGGCAGTTGGAGGAACACAATTGAGCCCATCAAACTGTTAAAACTGTGGAGTGTTATTGTTATATACTTTAAAACAAATTGGCCACCCTGCAGGTCCTGTGTCTTACTTAGCCCGGCTGCCTTCCTACAACACTGACTGGTACACTGGCCCCCAGAGATCCCAATTCAACTCTGCCACAGCCCCAACTCTCTTCATTTCTCCCTGAACACACATACTGAAAGGTACTCTTGCTCCCTCCTGCAGCCCCCCATATTAATACCTGTCGCCCTGGGGTGCTGCTGTGCCTGTGTGCTGATTCCTTTGCACAGATCCCTGCTTGCCAGTTGAGGCTTATCTGTTCTCCCTCGCCCACTGATCCAGCCAGTCCTTTCCAAAAGCTTCTTCTCCTTAGATTAGGGGTGTCCAATCTTTTGGCTTCCCTGAGCCATACTGGAAAAAGAAGAATTGTTTTGGGTCACACATAAAATACACCAATAATAGCTGATGAACTAACATAAATAAAAATAAATCACCAAAAAAAAGTTTCATGACATTTAAAGAAAGTTTACAAATCTGTGTTGGGCTGCATTCAAAGCCATCCTGGGTCGCATGTAGCTCATGGGCTGGAGAAGCTTGCCTTAGATGAATTGAGACCAGGAAGTCCCTAACTTCCCCCATAATAGAACTTGTAAACTGAATCTCAGCACAAAAGGGTCATCCTCCAGTGGCTGAGCACACTAGGAGCCTGAGTCCTCTGCTCACTTTAACAAGTTAGGTAATGGACGACTTAACCTCCCTGTGCCTGTTTCCCTACCTGTAAAGTGGAACTAATAATCTAATAATAATAACAACCCACATCATAGGCTTACATGACATAAAGCACGTGAATCTCCTAGCACAGTGCCTAGAACACAGGAGGTATTCAATACATACCATTTGTTACTATTTTACTATTACCAGGTGTTATTCCTTTTTATCTTCTTTCATTGTATCATGTCCAGAGCAAAGCCTGGCTATGCCAGACCTCCCAACAGCCTTTGACTAGAAAAAGAGGCCCCCTGCTGGGCTGGGCTGGGCGTGGGGGCTCACACCTGTAATACTAGCCTTTTGGGAGATCAAAGCAGAAGGATCCCTTGGGCCCAGGAGTTCGAGACCAGCCTAGACAACACAGGGAGACCCTGTCTCTATTTAATTAAAAAAAAAAAAAGAAAGAACCAGGCACGGTGGCTCATGCCTGTAATCCCAGCACTTTGGGAGACTGGGCTGGTGGATAACATGAGGTCAGGAGTTCAAGACCAGCTTAGCCAATATGGTGAAACCCCATCTCTACTAAAAATACAAAAAAAAAAAAAAAATTAGCCAGGCATGGTGGCTGGTGCCTGTAATCCCAGCTACTTGGGAGGCTGAAGCAGGAGAATCCCTTGAACCCGGGAGGCAGAGGTTGCAGTGAGCCGAGATCGCACCACTATACTCCAGCCTGGGCAACAAGTGAGACTCCATCTCAAAAAAAAAAAAAAAAAAAAAAAAAAAGGTAGAGGCCCCCATTAGGGCTGTGCCATGCATCT